TATACGTGCTGTATGTAACTGTGACAGCCTATCCCCAGGGGGTAAACGTGAGACCCTAGGGTCATAAACCTTGAGACCCTTCCATCTATAAAGAGTGTTTGATTCTACCATATCTGGGTCTTTGAGAAGATATTGTTTTGAAATTTCAGTCAATTCAACCCTTTTTGGCCCCACCCATCAGCCCTGGGGGGTCAGTCAGGGCTTGCATGTGCATACCATCAAACTGCTATCCAATACTGATAATGCTAACCCAAATTAAATTACTTCCAATGAAAATTAAACAAATGTTGGTCCAAAATGAGATTTCCCTATATAAACTAAAGTAAAGTTTACCCCCTGCCCAGGGGTAAACGTGAGATCCCAGGGTCATAAAATTCACAATTTTGGTAGAGCACCTTAAGACCCTTCCATCTATGAAGAGTGTTTGATTCTACCAAAACTGGGTGTTGAGAAGAAGATTTTTGAAATTTCAGTCAATTTGACCCTTTTTGGCCCCACCCATCAGCCCGGGGTTCAGTCAGGGCTCATATGTGCATACCATCAAACTGCTTTCCAATACTGATAATGCTAACCTAAATTTAATTACTTCCAATGAAAATTAAACAAATGTTGGTCCAAAATGAGATTTCCCTATATAAACTAGAGTAAAGTTTACCCCCTGCCCAGGGGTAAACGTGAGATCCCAGGGTCATAAAATTCACAATTTTGGTAGAGCACCTTAAGACCCTTCCATCTATGAAGAGTGTTTGATTCTACCATATCTGGGTCTTGAGAAGAAGATTTTTGCAATTCCAGTCACTTCAACCCTTTTTGGCCACTCCCATCAGCCCCGGGGGCTCAGTCAGGGCTCATATGTGCATACCATCAAACTGCTAACCAATACTGTTAATGCTAATATCATAAAGAATTTTATGATAAAAGTGCTAAATTTGAACTTTGATTTAATATTATCATTATATTCGTTTTTTGGCGTATTTTAACCTATAAACTTTCATTCAATCTATACCATCGTGTGACATAAATATAATTAANTTGTACAGTTGCTAGCAGTTCGTAATAGGAAAGAACTTTGTCATTTAGGTAAATATTTACAATCAAGTTTACTATTACGCTCGACATAATGTGCATTGTTTAATTATCATGTGCATGCTTTTTCTTTTTATCTCCAGATAAAAACTGATTACTTCTTACTTCATTTGATTGAGATTCTTCCAATCTTTCAATCATGTACATTACTTCAATTAATCATCTCATTAATATTTTTCTTTTGTCATTTGTATTCTCATGTGCGTACAACTGTCCGCCATCTATCAAATCAGCTTGTCTTGTACAATGTAGGTTATGTTACATGTTATTCAATATTTGTGTAATGTTTTCGACACCCTTATTGTACATGTACACATTAATTACTCTGTATTATGCTGTAATGCTTATGGGCCGTAAGGCTGAAAGTGAATAAACAATACCATAAATCTTTCAACTTAATTATATTACGTAACAGGATTAATTGGTCATAACAGATCGGACACTACATTCAGTCTCAGACAAAGGACAGCTAAATTGGCTTACCTGGTCGGGTACGGCCGAAGTCTGAAAGGCCGATTGCTATGAATGACAGATGTCACTCAAACTAATTACTTAATTGCTTTTGTGTAAATGTACTTAGGACACGATTATGATTTGTAACAGCAGTTAAGAGCTAGGCATCGGACTGTACGGGTGTGTTTTTGGATACTCCAGAAATCACCCACCGACCTAGAGAAAGTTATTTTAATAAATTTATATTTGGACCATACAACATCTCCAGAACTTTTACTTTTCAAATTGTATAACAATACCCCACCAAAGTGTTGTTATACTAACCTAAATTTAGTTACTTCCAATGGAAATTAAACAAATGTTGGTCCAAAATGTGATTTCCCTATATAAACTTTAGTAAAGTTTACCCCCTCCCCAGGGGGAAAACGTGATACCCAAGGGTCATGAAATTCACAATTTTGGTAGAGCACCTTAAGACCCTTCCATCTATGAAAAGTGTTTGATTCTACCATATCTGGGTCTTGAGTAGAAGATTTTTGAATTTTTAGTCAATTCTACCCTTTTTGGCCCCACCCAATAGCCCCGGGGGGGGGGGGGGGGGGGGGGGGGGGGGGGGGTGTCAGTCAGGGATCATATGTGCATACCATCAAGCTGCTACCCAATACTGATAATGCTAACCTAAATTGAATTGAGAAGAAGATTTTTGAATTTTTAGTCAGTTTGACCCTTTTTGACCCCGCCCCTCAGGCCCCTGGGGGCCGGGGACCAAACGGCAACCATTTTTGTTGACCTTTGGCCATGGAAGGTTTCTGCAAAATTTCATTGAAATTGGTTCAGGTGTTTTGGAGAAGAAGTCGAAAATGTAAATTGTTTACGAACGCACGACGGACGACGACGGACAAAAGGCGATCGCAATAGGTCACTTGAGACTTTGTCTCAGTTGACCTAAAAATGTATATCAAACAGGAGAGGTATAATAGGCTGGAAAGGTCTTTGCAACAGGAAATCATACTTTCTTAAATAGCGTTTGATAGCAGACACTAGTCAATGGTATTGGAAGAAGTTTGTGTTGGTTTGTTAAATCCAGATATGTTTACACAGAAATGTTAATTTATAAGAAAGATATAAACATACACCTCACTATATAGGCAGTTGAAGATGCATGCACCATTATTGGCAGTAAGACACAGGTAATGATATTTGATTGATCCTTAATTGACTACATTAACATGACATATACATACACACAATCTCACACACACACACAACTACAACTACTCGTGGTTCAGCATAACACTCACCACCTTCACCACTATTTAAACTCAACATCACAACATTCTTCATCATCAACATACACTAGAATGACATCATCATCATTACACTCAGCCATACTCTTTCTGCCATAAATTACATTCACCATCAACATTATCATCATGTCATAATGTCTATTCATCATCAACATTTCATAAAAATAAAATGACATCATCTTTACACTACAAAATTTTACATCATGATTTTTACACTCGGTCATCATAATTCTTTCTCATCATCAACAACAACATCATTACAATAAAATGACATTATCATCTTTACACTTGGTCATCATGATCCTCCTCCTCCTCGTGTGATAAAATGAGACCTTCATCTGAGAGAGAGAGA